CAAAGCGGAAAATTCCGCCAACTTGGCTGCAGGCTGGCGAGGGAGGAGAGCCAAGAGGAATGCGAAGGCATCTCGAAAATTGTGCCCAGCATGAATGGGCGACAGGGAAGGGGGAGAAGCAAAATGGGATGGATGCTGACATTCATTTACTTTGCTTTTGCTGGCGGCCTGGCCAACGGGGCGTATGAGGTACGACTGCAAGACGTGGCATTTTTAATGCTTTTGTTTTGCATTCGGCTTAATTAAGAAAACAACTTGATGCATAAATCCCAGAGGGGCGCCCAAAATTGGCCAGGAGGCTGGAGGAGTTTAAATTGCGCGGAGCGTCGGATTATGCTCAAGTGCAATTATGCACTTTTCCCCCGTGTGCTTTGATCATTAATGGGATCTTGATTCAAGAGCGTTAATTAAGAATATATTTTTATTCACAAATTGCAATGCAGCCCAGAGAATTATCCTCGTTCCAGGAGACTTACCAAAGGTGACGCCATTCGTCTGCTTCTCCTTGTCTTTGTCCTTATCCTTGTCGCTCTTTTCGCCGCCCAACGGCTCCAGCTCGATGCCATCCGTGGTGGCCACTTTGTAATCGCGCTTCGACATATTGCCACAGCAAAAGCCACAACATAACATTCGTCCAATTTTGTAGGCTTGCGGTTTAAGGGGCGCCGTCTTGGATTTCTTGCCGCGGGGCACTCTCCGGGATTCCTTGGGAAGTGGGCACTGGGTGCTGGAATGATCCTTGGGATTAAGGGAGTCGGGGCTAATCCACCTGAGTTGTCCCCGAGCTCTGTCTAGAGATATGTTTGTCCCAAAAAGGGTCGTTACAAAAGATTTATCGTTTCGATTGTTGTTCTACGAGTGTGTGTAGAAGACTACAAAGGTCGGTGAGTAGAGTTGATTGTTGTGTTTGCTTTCGATATTGTTCATAAATTGGTCCAGTATCTGGTGTGGTTCTCCTGGAATTAAAGTCGGAAAAGTAAAGTTCTAAATAGTCATAAAAAAACATATATTTTAATATTCATATTTTTTTAAGTACAAGTTAAAAGCAAAATAAATGTGCATTTGAAAGCTGCAAGTAAGTGTGTCAAGCTAGCATTGTGATCAAACTCTGCAAAAAATATACAAAGGACAAAGAAGCAATAACTATCTTGCCCAGGGAGTCCCCCTCCATCCTTCGTTTTAGCTGCACAAAATTAATAAGAAATGGGATACATATATATTTGAAATGTTGCCAGGTCTCAGGATTCCTCTGGTTATTGTTAGACTGCAACTTCCTGTGTCGAAGGAGGAGCAGGAGAGAAGCCTGCCACTGATGTCGCCACTTGTGGGCGTCGGTTGTCGCTGCCAGAGACATTGTTGCCGGCAAACAAAAACGAAACTTTAATAAAAGCACTCGGACTCCATTCCTCCTGCACTCCAGCGGGCTTTGTGGCCCAGCAGAAGGAGTAGTATAAGAAGAGAAGCAGGGACCTGCTGCAACAATGACAGTGTCGTGAGCTAAAAAGCATTCGATAGCCTTAGGGCCACGAATGCAAATGCACATCAAATGTGTGAGGTGGCCCCAGAGGTGGGACGGGAGCTGTGTCCCGTGTCCTATGGGAGCTCAGTCGACAGTAATTGCGAGAGGCACCAGGCAAAGCACAAAGCACAAAGCTCAAAGCAACCGAAGGAGCCATCTCCTGGTCAGGGACTCTTCATCGGTCTCCGCCTCCCAGAAGGCAAGTATCGAAGAGGTGCGCCAGGCAGTTCAATGCTCGAGCACACTGGCAAGAAATTCTACTAAAATTCTTAAGAGAAATAACAACATGATGAAATATATTTTAAAAATTTTGTCTAGTTGCATTACGTAGAACAGTAATGGTTCTAAATTTAAAACAAAATAAGTTATTTTGTAAAAGACATGTCGAGCTTAGTTTCTGTCAGTATATCCTTTTCTTCCGGGTTGCTTCCATTCCAGAAGGATGAGGATTAGGACCCAGTTAAATCGAGCACAGTAAACGCGGATGCGAATGCCGATCCGGAGCCGAGCGATGGCCACTCCATTTGATGGGGCGGCACTTGAAACAAAAGTCGAGGCGGGCCAGGGCAATTGTGTTTGCTGTTGGTAAAACACACAGCGTAATAAAGAACTATGGGAAAGGCGAAATGCGAACTGGGAACTGGGACCCGGTAGCTAAGAGGTGGGAGCTGGACGGGCCATAAACCTTTCAGCCATTTGAACCACTTCCAACCCATCACTGCCCACAAAACGCTCCACCATTAGCCATTCTCCGCTGCGAGGGGCTGGGCCAACTCAAAAATAAACATGGCGCAACAAAGTAAAGCACAAAGGACGAAAAACAAAAGGCAAAAAAGCCAAAATGAATAGAGCAAACAGAGGAATACATATGTAAACCTACGCCAAGTAATGTGGCGATTTTGTAATACCCTGAATTATGTCACAGATAACCTGAGATTACAGAGGGCAAACCAAGGTTTCTCGTGATAGGATAACTTTATCTATTAGCATTATATGATTTTGTTTTGCTTCCTCCAAAGCTTCTTAAATAGTACATTATATGGTCCATTAGGTTGCCCGGAAGTTGAAAACAAAAACAGGCTGGTATATACTTGGAAATATTGAATCGACCTTAATTATTTTGTTATTTTAACTGTGTATATACTTTAACCCATTGGTTGACCTCATCTCATAAAGGTTATTTGTGTACGCCCTTTAAGGACATTAGATATTAATTTAATGACATTTTAAATTGCCCTAATTAACACATTAGGGATAATGATGTGTTGAAGGAAATACTGAATAATTAAAGCACTCGTTCTGAATTAGTCGATACAAGAAATTTATAAATAATTAATGACATTATTAGGCCTTTATATTTAATAATATATCTTATCTACTATTGATTTGATAATAATTTTATTAACTTTATAAGATTTTTCCTAACTTCATTAGTAAACACTTTTAGATCATTTAAAACCCGAAATGTATTAAACCTCCTCAAATTAAAGGGTATACCCGGAAGGGGGCAAGTTTGCTTGTTGGCTTGGCCATAAAGTGGTCGGGATTAATGGCAAAATGGCGTCAGTTTGTTTTGTGATTTCTTTTTTGCTTGTTGCGCCCGCTGCATACAAAGTAGCCGAAAAGGAGCGGCCAGGGATAGGACACTCGGACACGCCATGTATGTATCCTGACCAAGAGGACAATGCAGCCAAAAATAGCCGGCCATGTGTCTGTTTGTGTGTGAGTATTGCGTATGCGACACGTGTGCAAATTGTGCCCCAATGTGTCGTTTGTTACGTTTTACGTTACTTCCGGTCTGTCGCACGGGGCTCTAAATATAAATAAAAAAAATGGCAAATGGCCAAGCGGATTTATGTATGCTGCTTCCTACACTCATCCCGCCACCGGGACCAGCAGCAGCCCTTGGATGCAGCTGGGTTTGTGCAGCTTTTGTGAAAAGCTTTTGGGAGAATATCTCGACGCATTATTAATTTCGCACGAGCATATGCAAGGCAATTGAAGGTCATTTGGGCGGGGGTTGTGGTGTGGCCAGGCCCCCGACATTCGATTGCTGACTGAAGCAATCAGAGCTGAATTGAGGGCCCTCCGAGTCCCATTTGAAGCAATCCCTGGGCCAAGGCCATTGGCTCAGTGGACGTTAGGCGAAGGACGGCGGTCAGGTACGCACAGAGAGCAACCTCTTTGCAGGTGTCACGTTTTATTTTTAGCACCAGCAGGTTCTGGCTAGTTCTATGCGATCTTCCAGCTCATAAGCAGTACATATCCCGGGGCCAGGGCTTCAATATTTAATGCCCACAATCAGACTGAATAATTGATGGGGAGACACATGTACAGCCGGAAGGAGTTGGAGCCAGGAGCTGTGTGTTTGCTGCTGGTTTTTGTGTCTGGCGCACGGCAATTAACTTGTTTAAGCCACAAGGTAAACATGACAAACACATTTGTCAGAGTCAGCGTCAGCGTCACTGTCAATGCCAACGGATGGCTGGTTGGTTGGACGAATGGAGGTTGAGATTGGTGCCTGGGGGTATTAACAAATAGCTCCGAGGGCACCAGGATGTGTCTACAATGCAGCAGTGCAAACAACAGGAGTCAGAGCGTGTTTTACCTAGAGCAGATGCATCCAGCCGGGTGTATCCTTCGGTCTATTTAGGCGCCAAATAGACAAGCACTTGTATACTATATGTACTAGAAATATGGTATGATTTCCGTTTCCGTTTCACTTGGCTTTTCACTCGGCACAACACACACACAAGGAGCGGCGAACACGGATTTCGGATACGGGGGAAAACAAATTTGAAAACAAACGGAGTTCAATAACAATGCGTTTCATGCGATTGAAGGGGACTTTTGGTTTTTCTTCGGTGTACAGAGCAAGCGCGAACAAAATGCGTCCATCAAGCACGAAGGATAAACTCTTTCTGATTGAAAAGAAAGCGACCGTCGAGAAAAGTCCTTTCAGCTGACCAAGAGAGGCGGAAAGCTTTTCCTTCGCAGCTTTCCTCTCTCTCTCTATCTCTCTTGTGTGCGACTCTCCTGCTGTGTCAGAATTTGTGCAGTGAAATTCCAAGGGAAACTGCTCAAGGATAAGGGAGAGAACGGCGAGAGAAACTCCTGAGAGCGTAGACCAAAGCCGGTGGCAGGAGGCAGCGGCAACTATTCCACACACCCCCCAGCATTGGCTGTGCCAGCCCAAGCCACCCCCCGCAAACGGGAAAAACTCCACAGCAGCATCCGCTCTCGTCTTGTCAATATAAACAACCATTTGGGATCTGTTTCCAACTCTATGTGAGTGCGCTATATGCTAGATAAACAAAATATTAGGGGTGTGTAATGAATGCTTGAGGGTTTTTGGAAGTAGCGCCCGCCGCTCTACTTGGTGCTCTAGATGCTAAGTTTTTGGCCTTTCAAAACGGCGTGCCAATACACTTTTTTTTAAATTATTTCAACACTTGTATATTTCAAGGGAATTCCTTAACTAACAGACTTGAATAAGTTCTTTCTATATAAAAATAATCTTGATACATTCAATTAATTACAAATAGTTTAAATATAAATATCCTTAGAAAACATAACAGCATTTCAATTTTGCTACAATAATTATGATTTCAGCTCCAGATCAATCATTTCATTGCCCTCCATATCCTGATTTTTTGGCGTATCCTCCGGATCCAGCAGATCGCCATCAAAACTATGGAGGAATTTCAAAAGTTACACTTCGTTGGAATAAATCTCTGGCAATACTACTCACAATAGCTTAATAAGACGGGCCTCAACGTTTAGCTCCTCGGCACACTTGATGTATAATACCTTGAAGGGATCCTTCTTTTTGATGGACACCACCAGGGGATGCTTCCATTTGGCCGCTTGCACTTTTAGCTGGAATTTTCTGGGCTTCTTCGATAGGTCTTCTTGATGGTTGTCATTTTTGGAGATTGTTTTATTGCCCGACTTTGTGGCATGGCCACCTGAAACAGCAAAGCATTATAAACACACAACTTTCAATAATGAGCAATAGGTGCACTCACTTAATGTGTGAAAGCTTTTGAGACCAATGCTGTGAGGCGTGTCATCGGGTCCGATGAACTTGTAGTACATATCCATGGAAACATTATCCTCATGCACTCCGTTGCGCTCGGCCACCTCCTTGAACATGTGCTTGAACTTTTGATGCTGGCGCAGCTTGTAAACCTGAATCTCGCCAAGCCTGGAGGAATAAGAAGGTATAAGACTTAAACAGTTATGAAACCAGTTCAACCAAAGCTTACCAGGACAAAGCTACTTCCATTGTGGGATTGTCGGCATCAAAGACATCACTGGCCTCTTCTACGACTGCAGTTGCTTGGCCTTCGTCATCCGAGTCGAGGTTAACCTAGGAGACACAGGTATTAATTCAATTCTGGACGCCTCTAGCCCTGCGACTTACGAATCCCTCTACGCGTGGAGGCACCGCTGATACCAAATCAATGCTGTCCAGTACCTGGGATCGGGCTGCTATTTCGGCTATTTGAGTGCGCCTGGTAGCGTGGCTAAAGCTCTGCAATATAGGCGTAATGTAAGGACTTGGTCCTGGAATTGGAGGCGGGGACTGACTTACAGCCACAATACTGTTCAAGGAAGAAACAACAGCTGACGATACATCTTCCACAGTGCCGCCTGTAGCAGGGACAGTTTTTTTTTTCGACCTAGTATTCCGCTTTTTGGGCTGCACGACGACTGGAACGACTGGGGCGACTGGTTCCACTGGATCTGGACGTATTTCCTGCTTGCCCTGTGAGGAGCGCGTGCGTCTGGCCACGGGCGTGCTGTCTTCCGGAATCAACGGAGCAACATCCGTAGCCTGCTTCTGATCCATTTCCAGGATCAACTGAGAGACAGGCGATAGTGATCGTGCAGAGTCCAGCTGCTTCTCGGCAGGTTCCGGAGGCACCTGTTCATCCTTTTGGATCTCTTCTTTCTTTTTACTTTTCTGTACTTTATTTTGGGGTTCCGTCACCACCTTGGCTTTTCTAACTCTACTCGTTTTCTTGGTGCTGGTTCCTAGGAAGTCGTAGTCCGTCTCCTTGGAGAAGGAGTCGTCGCAAGGATTATCAAAGGTAGCAAGGGGCAAGGCTGCAGGAGAAGTATTTACTTAAATCGTTGGACATCTATGTATGTTGTTTAAAACTTACCATCCCTCGGAGCCCGCCTGCAGGCGGCACTGAATATATCGAAGTCGTCGTCGGACATGTTATTGGGGAGCCGAAACTTTGGATTTACTCAATATCGAAACTTAATAAATAGAAATTGTCGCGCCAAGTGACAACAAAAAGATGCCGGCGACTCCAATCAGCTGTTTGTCGTTACAAATACTGCAAATACTAAAATCTGGCAACGCCGGCGGTGGAGCGATCGAGCCAGCAAAAATTATCACCAGAACGAAACTAAACAAAATATATCCTTAAATCTTTAATGTGGTTTCCACAATACTCTACTAAACAAATTAAACAATTTATTATGTTATTCGATAGAGTTGACACACTTGGCAACTCTGGCTGTCAGCTGTTTGGCTAGTGTTGTCAAGCGCCACGCTGCTAAAAGTAATTCTCATTTCACCTTCCGTCGCTGTCAAGAAGAAAATGCTAATTATTTGTTACAAACCGTTGTAATTTCTGAAAAACCCAGTATCCACGCGACAGGAGGCTTCTCCGACGTGTCCGTGTGCGTGCCCGGGCGCCGCCGTGCGTGTGAGAGCCTGCAAGTGCAAGTGTGTGTATGGGTACCTGGTGTGCAAAGTAAACTAAAAAAAAGTAAGAAAGGTCGACGGGGCTGTCTCAGCTGCCTGCGTGCCATTTTTCTTTCTTCTTCGCGGTTGGAAAGCGAGAGACTGCTGCGGAGCCATGAACTCCACTAGCAATCTGGCGGACGTGGTGCGGCACTACCAGCGCAGCATTGAGAAGCACAGCGACAACGAAAAGCGGGTGAGATGCGACGCCTGCTTCTTCCTGCCTCCGTTCTTATGTTTCCTCATCCTTTCCACATCTCTCCTGTCTTCTTCTCTTTCTTGTTTCTGTTCTATTCATCCTTTTAGTCTATGTCGCCCAAAGCTATCTCTCTCTTACGAATTATTAAATATTTAAAACAAATTAAATAAGTTATTTCATGCTATGGCTAGTGAGAATTTCAAGGTCGGAGGCCGACAACAAAAACCGCCCTTAGGTCAAGAGCCAGACAAAATACATACATATGTATGTACGTATGTACATATCTACAGTGGCTCCAAGCTTATTTCGTGCAAGAATTATTAACAATTTTAAATCGGCCCTGCCGGATAACTAGCAAAGATATCTCTAAAATTTAAACGCAGTATTTTGGAGAAACACTTTGTTTATTTAACTAACAAAATTTTATTTTCCTAATCTTTAAAATAAATTAAAAAATTAAATAAATAGAAAAAATGTGACAATTCTCACACCCAAGCTTATTTCGTGCAAATATTTTAAAAACAAAAAACAGCTATTTTAGACTTTAAAATCGAAATTTTTTTTCTATATTACTTTTTTAAGTACTAGTCAATACATATTTTATTGGTTTTAGATGCTGGCCCTACATATTTAAGGATATATAAGAAATTCTTTGTGGCAGTACCATGTACCATGAGTGATCAAAGGAAATTACTCCAAAATCACTTTAAAAGTGACAAATATCATCGTGATTTTTCCGATATGGTTTCCTTAACCCCTACTGCATTCCATTACATAATTAAATCATTTTTTTGTAGGAGTTTCGTGGCAGATTGGGGTCGAGATAGACAAATACTTATACATTTTTCAGTGAGCTGTGTTGTATTATCCTTATAATAAAGGAACAGGAGATACTTTCAGTTCCCAAATTAGATGCATTATATTGAGCACGAAATATGTAACAAATGTAGTGTGAAATAGGTGCGCCCTATGTTGCAGGATCACATATTAAGAGGTCAAGTAGTATCAAAACAGCCATTTATAAGCAAACATTACAGCAAGGATCGTCTAAAATCTGCATAGAAGGTTATAATTCACTCGATTTTCTTTCGGAATGATTTTATCCTTACATATAAGTAAAAAATTAGCCAATTTAGTTTTGGATGGACTTAAATATGTGCTGTGGTGACTGAATTCCGGCCTGTAAAATAACCACCTCAATGCATTTGTGAAGCAAGCCGGATTCATTCCATTGTTGGACCTGTATGGCGTCAATTGGCGTGACGAAACAATTTTTTTTCAATGAAATAGTAAATGGCGATATGTTTCCTTAAAAATTAAAGAAAAATTTGCTTAAAATGGCAGAAGAACTGCGCCTACGGGGTCGTTTTTGGTAATATCAGACTAAGATCATACGTGCTCGGCAGGCTTTGTGAGGGCGTGGCTCGTCTGGAAACGAACAAAATTTATAAAAAACATTACAAAAATCAACATTTTGAAGTGTTACTACAAATTTTAACCAAAAAGTAGACTCAGTCATTATAAAAAAAGAGATAAAATAAATATTAACTCAAAGGTGCTATAAGGAAATAATGGCTTAATAGTCTAGTAGAAATATATATAAAAAAAATTTTTTTTCGTATAGAATATTTGGAAAGTTGTTAAAGAATGAAGATAGGTAAAAAAAATATGGTAAAATCTAAAAATAAAAAAGTTATTTTATATTTTCTGAACTGCACGAAATAAGCTTGGGTGTGAGAATTGCACTCTTTTTCCTATTTATATGATTTTATTATTTGTTTTAATTATTAGGAAAATAATTTTATGTTAATTAAATAAACAAATACTTTCTCTAACATACTGCGTTTAAATTTTTAAAATATCCTTATTAGTTTAGCGGCAGTGCTAATTTGAAGTTGTTGTAAATTCTTGCACGAAATAAGCTTGGAGCCACTGTATGTATAAAAAGGATGCGTACAATTTGTTTTGTTTTCTTCTTTTTTTAATAACATACTTACATGAGCTAAATGTGCCCATATATTTTTTAATTCAATTTTTAAAATAACGTTACAGCTGAAAATACACATATTAAGTATAAATTATCTCTAAACTAACCCCTATAATTTAAACCTAATGTTTGTTTTCGGTAAACAGTTACATAATTCTTACAAAATTAAATCAAATTTGGACAAAACAATGATGAAATTGTCCAGGAATCAGTGTAATCTAAGAATAATACAAAACAAATGTAATCCTCCTACTCTAATAAAACTCAGAAACTTCAAGAGAACAATTCTGTGTTCAGTAAGACTTTAAATTACATTTCAAATAAAAAAAAAAGTAAGACCAACCAACTTTTTCAGTAAAGAAAGATGTATCTTCTGAGAAATTATTGCGACTTTTCTCCGCCCTACAAAATATTGCGAAATTAACACTTGGCAAAAAATAAAGTACTGTCAGCAAGGCCACTCATGAAAAATAGTCTGCTTTCTATTGACCTCACAATCTCACGTTCTGTCCCATCTGCTTGAGATCGCCCTCTAACCCAGCCGTCTTTTTGGCCACCTCCACAGCTGGTGCATTGCATGAACAAGCTGTTCAACCTGCCCATCAAATTCGAGCACCTGCAGGAGACCGGCATTGGCAAGACCGTTAATGCCCTGCGCAAGTTCAACGGGGAAGTGGGTCAGTCCGCCAAAACGCTCATCACAAAATGGAAAGCCATGGTGACCGCCGAAGAGGGTTCCTCTACAGAGGTCCCGCTAGCGGCCAGCAGTCAGGAAGAGGACTCCGGAAAGTCAAACGGACGAAGATCCAGCGACGAGGATCTTGACCAGGAGAACAAGGGCAGTAACTCATCCAGTGGCGAGGAAAGGCAAGCGGCCGAGCACAGATCAAGGCAAGAAGAACGAAGTGACAAGAGCTCCAGGCAGGATCAGAGCGGAAGCAGTAAAAGTCACTCCAAGAGCTCTTCGGATCCGAATAGAAAGCACAAAAGCAGTCGCCACGACAAATCCAAGGAAAGGGACAAAGACAAGGAGGACCACAAGGAAAAGAAGTCGAATGGCGAGCACAAGTCCAGGGATTCCAGTCAGTCAAACAGTACCAAGAGCAGCAGATCCGATGGACACAAAGGCGAGCACAGCAAATCCAAGCATGAAAAGGTGAGTGTCCTGAAAATAAATGTATAATTTTACTCAAAGGCCTCTGTTGCTCGCAAACAGGAAAAGCCGCCCAAGGACAAGTCAAGCAAACACCACAAGTCGTCTTCGAAGTCATCTAAGCGGTCACACAGCCCACATCGCGTCGATGAAGAGTCGAGCAAGGCAAAGATACCAAAAACAAAAGCGAAATCCGAGGAGGACTCCCCCGATGGCTTTGACTCAAGCATGGGTGCCAACTTTGACGACGTTCTCGGCATGCTTAACATGCCTATGAGCAGCAAGAAAAGCACCAGTGGCAAGAGCAAGTCTGTCGCTAAGATGGCATCCTCATCCTCGTCAACTCCAGTCGCCCCGGCGGCACCCTCTAGAGATGCCTTCTTGAGCAGTCGACCGACCTCCACAAAAGTATTTGAAAAGATACGTTAACTCTTGAAATGCAATTACAAAATTTAAACCCCTTAGAAACCCGAGTTACTAGCTCCATCGGCCAAACTTGAACCCTTGGATCCGAGCATTGCCTTGGAGCTCCCAACCATTTCTAACAACTACAAGCCCTTGCCCTTGAATCAGACCGTGATGGACGTGGTTTTCAACCAGGGCGGCACCCAGAGGTCCCAGGCTTCCCGTTTCAATGAGTCGGAGGCCTTGGCTCAGGGTATTTCTTCGAAAACCATGCGGTATGTAAAAGTGCTTCTTTATTCGTAATACAAATTTTTACTATTTAATAATTGATTTTTTCCCAGCACCAAAATCTACTCGGGCGTAAGAACGGGCCAACTCCTGCAGGTGCCCTCACTTTTCGATCTGTGCACGCGCATTCTCCAGAAGAACCTTGATGGTAAGTGTTTGAAAATAGCCAACAACTGGTAACTGACTCATTCTTCAAAACAGAACGTCAAACAAAAACAAGACACCAAAAAAATGCATGTCTGTTCTGTAGATACTTCATTAAGATTGAATTAAACTACTTAATAAAGCAAACTTTGTACTTTTCTTGTTGCAGCGCTCGAATACACGGGTGGTGTGCCCTTTGAGATTCTTCGAACCGTTCTGGAACGCGCCACACCCCAGCAACTGCTGAACATCGAGGAGTACAATCCCTATCTGATGGACGACAGTGACATCCTGTGGCAGCAGCATGTCCAGCGCCACTGTCGTAGTCAGCGCCGCGAGGAGATGGAAACGTGGCGCGAGATGTTTCTGGTAGAGTGTCTCTTGGCCATCTCTAAGATCCTTCTCTAAGTAAAATCATAATTTGTATACTTACAGCGCTGCCAGGAGGAGAAAGATCGCAAGCTCAGTAGCCTGGCCGAGAGTATTAAAGCCTCTCAGAAGATCAGCGAGGCACCCGTGCGCAAGACACAGCTGGCCTTTGTGGACTCCATGGTTAAGCCGCCGCGCAGCGTGATGCGCAAGCAGGAGCAATATGGCACCAAGTCAAAACTCATTGCCACTCCAGCCGCCCGAGTAGCCGCTTTGTCCAGCGTAACGCCCAACGCCGCCAAGGTAGGCGACGCCCGTCTGCGTGTCTTGGCCGCCACCCGCGACACGGCCCAAGTGGGTGAGTTGATCAAATCGATTATAAGATTATGCTGAAATTTAATTTGGATATTCAGTAGCTCCTGCTATACAATATTTTACAAATGAATTCTCTTCTCTCTCACAGCTGCCGCACCGCGTAACAAGAAGGCGCCGCTAATGGCCAAGACCTTGCAATTTATGCGTGGACGACACAAGCGATAGATGGTAGATAGAAGGCAAGCCAGCAGACATAGTGGCGAGCATGTTGAGATGCGTTTATTCGTTATAGTTACAATCTTTATACTCAATTTGTTCATCGATAAGAGAGACTTTAGGGGTTCTGTAAAGCGAGATTCTATTAGACATTGTCTTACCCAGTGCACCGAGGAATCCGAAGGCGACTGTCTCTAAAGCATACCGCGCATGCTATTTATTATTTATTCATGTATCTGTCTCACATTAATTATACATTTCTACAAAAATGAAGTTTACTCCGAGCCGGATAACGATTGTAAGTTGATTGATTACCTTTTTGATTTTTGCGCAGGTATTCACCGGAATCGGATTACTTTCAGGTTAATACTGGTTCGATTGATCTTGTATCTGCAACTGGGAAACAGCAGCGAACTGTTCCACCCTTACTTTTAAATATAAGTTCAATGTTCATTTGTGCTAGAGGGCTGTGCGAGTGTCCAAAATCCAATATAGTGTATATAAAAGCGTGTAATTAACGCAAACTCTTACGTATATGCCTAAATTTATATATCGAACTTCCTAAATTATTAAAAACAGTTTTAATTGCCTTTAGATGCATCGCCCATCTAGTCGGACCGAATATATTGTGGAAGTAAATATAAATATTAAATACATTTTAGTCTGGAACCCGTGCATAAAATATTTTGATTTTAGTCTAAACTTCGAGACCAAAGTTTTGGAAATAAATAAAAATATTAAATAATTTGTAGTCTGGAACTTGTTTTGAAAAATCAAAATTAAATATTACCGCCCCCTTCCTAAATTTTGAGACACTGCAAAATTTAAAAAAAGTATAAAAATTCCATATTAGCTACAGTTCAGTCTATCAAACTATCGGAGTTTATATAGATTTTAAAAGCATTATAGGTTCCCAGAAAATTGATTTAAAAACTTTTAACTTCATCTTGATGCGTAAGCGAAGCATGTAAAGGCATTATACACTGTAATCAAAGTCGTTTATTCCACTAGTAAGCTAACGGAAACAAAAAAAAAATTATAAACACGGAGCAGACTCCTCTGTTAATTGTTAAAAAGCGGGCAAATATTATATGTAAAGGTAAAGACAAGCAAACGAGTTGTTTCACACAATAGTAACAGTAATATTATACAGACTTATTACAAATAAATTATTATTTTGAAACATAAACCATCAGAGAGTGGAAATTCATTCGGTCTGCCGTGTTCCATCTAGTTGATTCGATTCAGGTGCCAATGCAATACAGCGTCTTGCTGGGCGCGTAAAAAACGTCCACCAGACGCTGGCAGGAACTATTGAGAGTTAGCACACGATTCGTTGTAGCTGATGAGTATGAAGTCGATGCGGACGAGGAGCTTCCAGCGCCACTGCTGTCTCTGTAAGATAGAACAATGAAAATTAATAAGTTAAATAAAAGTTTAAATAACGACTAACGTACCCCATGGGCGACAGCTTTTTGATATCCCACAATCGGAGACTGCCATCGGTGCAGGCTGTGGCCAAATGCTGATTGTGCGGACTCCAGGAGAGGGAACTAATGCTCGTCGCATGATCCTTGAGCTCAGCCAGCTGCGCTCCGGCCGCCAGATCAAAAATGCGAACCTTGGTCTCCTCGCCGGCGGCTGCCAACATCTTTCCATCTGGACTAAAGGCCAACTGGGTAACGGCCTGCCGACAGTCGGCAAAGACGCGCATAAGCTTCCCGCTGGTTGCGCACCAAAGACGCACTGAGTGGTCCGCCGAGCCGGTGGCTATATAGTTGCCATTCGGATGGAATGCCACGCACTGTGGAAAATGTTCGATGTATTATTGTTGCCTGTTCTTAGTTCGTTACCCACCTCAACGTCCTGCGTGTGACCGGCATATATGATGAGGGCATGCTCCTTCTCCAGCGACCACAGGCGAGCTGTCAGATCCTTTGAGCCCGTGACGACGTACTGGCCAACTGGACTCTCGTCCAAACACCAGATTGGATAGTTGTGACTTCTGTAAATGGCTGCGCAGTGCAAATTATGCGCCCGCCAGCACCGCATGGTGGCGTCCTTGGACACACTGTACATGAGGGGATAATGGGCTGAGAAGCGCACGTCGGTGACGCCTCTGGTGTGACCCCTCAGCTGCAGGCCGCCGAATTCGTTGCTATAAAGAAAATAAAGATAGTTAAAAGGCTTCAAGGGGATTCCCCGCTGTCTAAACTTACTAGGAATTGTCAGTGTATTTGCTGTGCCTTGCCCTGTTGCGCTCTCTCCGATCTTCCTCGGAACACCGGACATCCTCCTCACTGCTGTCCTCATCCTCCGCATCCTGCTCTATTCCCTTCTGGTCTACGCAGCTGTTCAGCTCCCAAGGACACTGCGATTGCGGATAGCGTCTGTAGAAGCTCTTGCCGCGGCAACTGTGCTGGTTGAGCTGCCACAGCTGCACGGCGGAGTTGTCGAAACCGGCGAGCAGGTGACACTCACTGGAATCCAAATGGGCGGAGGTGAGGCCCCGGGAGCGCTCGCTGATCCTGAGAATGCGCGGTAGCTCTACTTGGGCCTTGAGTATCTGTTCGGTGGCTGACTTGAGGCTGTCCAGGCAGGCGTCAACATTAAGCTGGGGCTTGCATGCTTCCGCGGACTCCTCCGCTTCTATCTCCCGCTTAATGTCCGTCTCCAGCTTGATGTTTGGCTCCTCCGCGGGTCGTTTTTTAGTAGACTTTTCGACCAATGACTTGCCCGGCTTGTAATCACCGCGGGGAGGAAAGGATACTGTTGGCTTGGCTGCCACCTCCTCCTCAGCCTCCTCACCGTCCAGGTCGTCCGACAAGCCCAGGAGGTGATCCTCGCTGAAGGCGCGTTGCTCATTCTCCACGATATGTATTTGCAGCCAGGTGTAGAGCAGGTTCATGATCAGGACATGGCCTCGCCTCTGCAGATAGGCACAAATCTTCTCCACCACCTGGGCCGATGTGTGCAGCTCGTACTTAGAGGACCGAAAGTGGGCCACCGTGTCGTCCGACTCGGCTGCTTCCAGCCGTGTGCAACCACTCAAGATCTGCACGAGGCGCATAAAGTAGTCGAGCTCCGTGTCCCCAGTGTCCTGGGCCTCTCTGGCAAACCGTATGTGGAAAGTGGACTCGGAGGCAGAGGTTGAACAGCCGTTGATCTTGGTGGGCGGTGGGGCGTCATAGAGGTCCACAGGCGCCACCAAATGGGCGTATTTGCGCAGAAGTTCAACAGCGCCTCTGGGTTCGCGCGCCTTGAGCAGATCCAGATAGAAGTGGCACAGCATCGGTCCATAGAACCGCTTCATCTCCAATCTCAGCGGCTCTGCCTGAGCCTCCACGAACTGCGAGAAGCGTCCGAACTGCTGGTCCACAGTGTGCTGATTGTTGGTGATCACCTGTACATTCGAGTAGGTAAAGCTGTTCCCTCCGTGCAGATCCGTGTCCAACATTTTGTTTACCGCGAACTGCTGCTTGTTCTGCAGTAACAGAAAGTCTGAGCGGCGGAAGCGTTCGTTTCCCTAGAGGAGTAACACCATAAACACAGTTAGATTGCTGAATGGGAGAGTGTGGAGAGGAGATCCATCACTTACCACGTAATTTTTCTGCTTCAGCAGAAGTCCGACGGCGCAGCGCAGCAAATCGTTTTTCGAGGAGGTTTTCTTGTTGCCCGCACTCGACTTGTTGTTATTGTTGCTGTTGCTATTGCTGTAAACGGGCGACGCAGCATGGGCATGGGCGTGGCTGCTGCTGCTGGCGCTGGGCAAGCTCATGGTTGTGTGTTATCCTCGCCAAATCCGTCTCCGTATCCTGATCCCGTCCTGCCGTGCGTCCGATAGCTGCAGCGTCCGATAACAGTGTTGCGGCGAACTATCGGCGGTTATCGGTGTGCAGCGGAGGAAACAGCTGTTCGGCAGCATTTGTTGTCGTTAGTGTTGGTGAAATAGCTATTTTAAGAAAATGTACAAAATACAAAAAGTTTTAAACGTGTTGACTGAAAACAATGGTTTTTTTTAACTAGGGAGCAAATTTAGTAAGTTTACCATAAAATAATACATATCTTTAAAATTCGCACAAGTTAAAGTACATTATCAATAGCAGTTTTCATCCAACCAATTCTGGCTATTAGTAGTTAGCTATTTTCTAGCCCTCGTCATTGTGAAAGGTGCAGCTGGGCTGGCATCACTGGCTCACCTCAGCTGATTGTTGTTGTTTCCCCGCCCGCGACAATTTCTTCCGTTTACTGTGTTTCTCAGTTGGAGTTTTTGCCTGCTATACAACGGTACCTGGCCTTCAACCGAAGCAATTATGACCAGCACAACAAAGTTTGTCAACGAATTCTGTGATATCATCGATTCCTATGGAGGGCGCGATAAGGTAACATATAAACACACCCCACACTGCAAAATCAATTTCCCATCCAAACTGCCGCACACCTGTTTGTTTACATTTTTCTAAGTGTTTCCCAAAACAAAGCTCAATTTAAAAAATGCATCGTGGCATATTCACGGGTTGTTTTCGGACTGGTCCATCGGGGGGCTCGGTCGAAGTTAACGCAAACCCAACCAACAGGTTTTCGCGGTGGAGCTGCTGCTGACATTGGGCAGGGGTCTTGGACGAGGAAGTAGCGGCAGATTGGACCTTGCCTTACTTCTTTGAGAGCATTCGCAATGGGTTTCTTTGCTTCTGGCTTATCAGTCGCTATTTGGCGGCGTTCGCGGCGAGATAATGTTGAATACTATAGCCGGCAAACAGTTAACCCGATGCCAAATAAAGCGGATAATACGCTACGAGCGAAAGGTTTGTTTGGCCCACTAACCCACCCATTCGGCGAGAAACACGCGATCCGACAGGGAATACCCAAAATCAAGGGTTACTCTACCCTTTTGAAGAGTTCTAAAATTTACGTAGCATTTTTGTAACTTGTGTTTGAATTTCTATATTTTAGAGCCGAGTTTCAGACACATTTTTTTATTTAGTTGTTTCTAGGGCGACAAGTTTGAAGCTTATATTTTTGCTATATAAAAATCTCAAAAGAAATCCTTTACCCAATAATTTAAAATCCAATTTTAATATTATATATATAGGATATATGATTTAGCTTGTCTTAAAAGTAACACCTGAAAGTGTAGCTTCGTTTCTAAAATACCCTTTGCTTTCGTATTGAACAACTACATAATTCATTGATGGCTGGGCAAATAAACTGTAGTATTGATGGGTAAACAGTGGCACAACCCCATTACCCATCCTGTCGGCGGGAGGAGTCCCCCAGGTGCACTCCACTGGCAGTCGGCAAACGAGATGCTCGTGGCTTTCGTTGTGTTCTTTTTATCGCTGATTGCGTTTTATCTGTTTGTGACATCCAAGCAATTTCACAAATTGCAGGGCTGAGGCGGGCAATCGAGGTCAAGTAAAGGTAAACAACAGAGATGTTGAAAAATATCATTCATAAAAATAGTAGTATATATGATATTAAGCACCTATTTTCTCTCATTTACGCAGGTAATGAAGGCGCTGTGCTACAGCGCCAAACTGGTGGCAGGATACCATGCCAAGAGGAATCCTGATCTGGCCAAGCGATACGCCACCGCCAGCTCAAAGATCTCGGGAGCCAGGGCCACTCTTCGCCTCATCGACGACATACCCATGATCCAGTATGCCCTGGAGTATGGGCTGGGAGAGAATGAACCAGATCGCGTTATGGCCGTGCTCGGCGTGACCGCCAACATTGTAGATCTGCTCTACTATCCTATCGAGAAGGTTTGCTGGCTGGCCGAACACAAGATTGTGGACGTAAAGCATGCGGACAGCTGGGACAATGTGAACTCCATATTCTGGGTACTGTCAGTATATCTGAACCTGATGAGGTTAGTACGAAGCACTAGGAAATTGAAGATAAATCTTTGATAAGCCGACATTTTCTTACAAAAATTATATAATCATTTCAGAACAATGCGAAATTTTTCACTAAATCAGGACAAACTAAACCGCACCGCAAACCTAAACGAGTGAGTAGCAAACGACCAACGTACCCCAAGAGTGCCTCATAATCCTTATGAATCCACAGCTTGGATACCAAGTCCTTGGCAAAGCACCGGCTGGAAATGGTGTCCATCGTTCGCATATCCCTCGACTTCGTACACGCTGTCAGCACGCTGCCCAAGGGCTATCTTTGGGGCGGCAAGCTGTCCACATTTCAGGTGGGGGCAATCGGTACCCTGTCGGCTGGCCTCGGCATCTACCAGATCTTTGCCAAGAGAAGACTGAACAAGTAGTCGAGCTGTGGCGTCATCCTTGTCGTTCGTGTTTGCAATCTGTGTACTCGTAATTGTTGATCAAGAGTTTTAAGCTAGTCGGTAAAAATGTTTTGTATGTGGGAATGATGCAGTTTTTTCTACGGCACTCGCAAGTGTTTAGCATGTAAGATTTGTATCCTTTAAAGAAGCACAAAATACACGCTAATTGTGAAAGAAAAGATCAAAGTTGGGGAATGTTTGGTCTGTGTGTCCTTTATTATCTGTTACTTCTTTTATTGTATTCTGTTAGATTCCGATACATGTGGTTCAGTATATGCTTTGTTTTTGCCAGCAGAATGATTAACCTATTTTACAGGCTCCTCCCATATATTGTCAGCCCCCTGGTGAGGGTTCATTACCAGAGTTTCTATTATTATCTCCCCCTCGTTCATACGATTTGTCGGTTTAGCAGTCATTGTATACAATGTTTCGTCTTTAGGCATTTTTAAAATACTCATATGTCTGATATTATACTTGTTATGCATGATTCCAGGCTAAATAATTGGATTTATAGATTACATGAGGGACCTGTCCAGGAGCCGGGGAAGCTCCTGACCAGTGGTAATGGTTAAAAATAACATTCGTTAGTAAATATATACTATATATTTGGTTTCTTTCTTTACAATTTCTTTGCCTGTGTCAGCCGCAAGCGGGTAAATATTAACAGTTACTAGTTATTCGCTCCGCCTGACTGCCGCTTCCTTTGGTAAGCTCTTTAGATGTACGAAGTATGAATGAAGTTGTTATCGTTTTATTGTATAGCCCTATTATAACTGCTGTCTATTAGGTGCGGCGTTTATTAAAATTCTCGTTATTTTGATATAGAGATATAGTTCAGGGATTTGTTAATTTTCGATAATATACCTAGCTACAGGAGTTGTATTCTGCTTTAATAATTATTACATTTAATATTTCCTCTTCCGTTTGCATATTCGATTGAAGATCGTCGCTCCATTTACAAAAAAAAAAGCTTCAAAAAGTTCCCAAAAAATTTCCACGCACTCAAAATATGTTCAACATTGTTCCATTTGCTTTTGTAGTTGTTGTGTAAGTGTGAATCTGTGTCAGTTTTTTTTCTTTCTGTTTTTGTTATAACTATAATGCAATTTGAACTCTTGCTCATAACAATATATAATAATTATTAGTACATAAATAGGTATATATCTTTATTTGTATGAATTTATATTGCGTGTACACCGTCGTGTTCGAAATTAGCAGAGGCCTTCCAAGTATTCAACCAAACTCTCCTTTTCTACAAGAAACATTGTTCGCAGGATTCTTCAATTCGTTCTTTTGAGTTCTCATTTTGAAGGAGCGAATAGGTAGTGCTTTCCCGGAGGCCTCTAAGAACTAGGAACAACATTGTACCAAGTATTTATGTACGTACTAATATATGCCTTGTATTTTATAAATATTCATGTATTTGTATATATATTTTTACTTATCGGAAGCTATTTAAAATGGCACTGCAGTAATTTTTTGTTTATATTCCTATATAAGGTGGGAAAATCAATTAGTTGAGCCGCCTTATCCGGTCAAGGATCCGGCGCCCGCTACTAAATATTCTTCTAAATATCCTTCCGCTCCTTGGCTATAATAACGGTATACGAATTTTGGGCGGGGCAGCTCTTAACTGAATCGCCATCGGTTGCCCCGCAAGTAATTATTAAAATATATATATATGCATGTATGTATATAGTATATGTGGTATTTGATTATTGCATTAAAAGCTTAGTATTCCTTTCTGAATTATCGTTATTATATATTCCTTGGTGTATATATATAGGTTGTATAATAGTCTTTTTAAAAACCGTTCTTATTGCATTCTCTTATCCCTTAACGCTACGCTTAGGCCTAACTGGTAACACATTTGCCGAGCAAATATTGTTGGTTTAAAATTCAATTTGCAAAGTTCTTGCTAATGTTCCCCCAAAATGTGTCTCACATGTTCACTTGTGTGTCTTTGAATACAGTTGACAGTACAATGAGTAATACGATAGTAAAAATATCTGTTATAGGGTTTCGAATACGAGTATTTAGTATGCAGTTAGTTTAGAGTACAGTATAGAGAGGTTATTTAATGAGTGTGTTCGAGATATCGGCATAGGTAGAGAGATATTCCGTCCACGGGGAAGGGCGCTCCCCATTTTGTATGCTTTTAAAAATAATTTTTACTCTGTATAATGTGTAGATAGACTGGCTTAAAAGTAGAGACGTAAGATAAATCAGATGACTTATGGGTGTTGTCAGTAAAATATGTATGTTTATTTTAAATATATGTACTTTTGGATTGTTAATTATGTTGAATTGTTGCCTAATAATTACGCCTTGCATATTTTCTCTTAATATTTTCTGCTTTACTTTGCTAAAAATTTAATATTATCGGTTTTTGCGTGGGAAGCGTTCGATTTTGGTTCCTTTACATTTCGTTTAAACATTATATTTTTGATACATTTGTTAATCTCTCCCCTCCTTGATTCGCATTTTCTTTAGGTTGATTTTGATTGAAAATAAAAACTTCATGTTAATCGAGTGGAAAAGCCGTGTGAAAAAGTTTAAAACTGTTTGCTTCACATAGTACTTGTATGTATGTGTAAGTGTTAATTTAAAATTCACGTTCTGTTTGTTCTTAAGCCTGTAAAAGCGTTAAAAACGTTAAAGTAAAACTGTGTAATATACGATCGAGATTTAGTCGCTAATTGCTTCTTGCGAAATGTATAGCCTTAAAAAGTTCCATTTAAAAGTCACCCCGCTTGGCTTTCTTCTTTCATTTGTTATTCTTTTGGTTAGTAAAAATATGGTAAATTTTAGAGTTATTTAAAATTGTTTAAGAATATGTTCTGCAAGTGTGCGAGTGTGTGTGTTTGTGTATATTTGTGTGCTAGTGTAGGTTTATTAGTGTATTTAGTTATCCGAAATGTGAGCTTGATGTTCTGCGAGCTAAAAACACGTTGATGTATCCAATAGATTCGAAACATTTATCAGATTTTCTCAATAAAAGAATGGTACTGGTACCTAATTACTTTCATTATAAAGGCTAAAAAATAAATTTAAAAAAGATACGCCCCTCAACACTCCTGAGGGGAAGTGAAATAAGGTCTTTTGCTGTTGCAGTTTTGGAGCATTAATGTTTTCCTATCAAGGTAAGTCTTACGATTACTAATAATTTAGCTAAAGCACCATTTTATCCGTATATATTTACAGTTTGTCTAGCTTAGGTTAAGGTATTCTCCCTTCTGCAACTATCCACGACTTAACTGGAATAAACACTGGCTTTAAAATATATATTATTTGTTCGTGGTATTCCTCTTATTTTGAGGGAATATTATTCGCCGTTCGAGGGTAATAATATAAGGGCCACATAGACATTCCTTTACTTTTCTCCACACCTGATATCCTTTTACTTTCTATGATCTAGTACCAATGCCATGCTGATTCCACTTGGTAGGCATACTTTACAATTCTTGGCGATTGCATTAAAAGTAGTCAATAAGCTTTTTGATTTGTGGTTGGCATTAAAGCGATTTAAGTGGGTGATTTTTTCTTGGTTTGGGTTCTCCTCTCTCCTAATCGAAGGCATTATTTATGTGTGTGTGTGTGTGTGTGTTTGGGTGTATAGATAGGTAACGTACATATATGTATATGGTAAATGGTTAATAACAATGCACTGCACTTGTGGGCCTGGGCTTATGTTCATTGCTAATCATACACCGGCCAGGCCAGTGCGAACTGGTCCTGGCTAAAGGAAACTAAGCTAGGTATAGGCGCTACAACAGAAACCGTTACACTAAGAGGCATCCTTGATTTGCCTAGACCCGCAATCCCTCGACTACTTTAAAAATTGCTTATCCTCGCAGCAAATCTATATATTAAAAACTAAACAAATTCAACTATTCCGCTCCCTCCTAGTCGCCGTTTTTCGTTCGTTATTGTTATAATTACATGGTTTTTTATATTTGTTTCTTTTGAAGACTACCTTAAAATCCCTGTAGGTTCATCGTAATGCGTGTGTAAATGTGTGATGTACGAGATAATGCTAAAAACAATTAATGCCTAGGAGGGCCATATGCGTTAAAATGACACATAACACCCGTTGTCTCTCGTTGAGTCTGAAATACTCGATTACATTGGTTGCTCTCTGTCTTTCTGAGTATTCAGTTGTTTCGGTAAAGTAATTTGATTGTTTTTATGCTTAAATTCGTTTGAATTTAAATGTTGATATTAGACTAGTTCTAGTTTCTTAACTTGGTTAGCTAAGGAGTAACAATCAGCATGGGAAGCGCAAGGTTAGTGTTAGGTGTTAAGCTTGTAATAAGAGTGGCCAAAATGAAACCAAGGCGAAGTCAAAAGCGATTTGTTATATATATTTGTGGTTTTGTTTCGAGAGTACGTGTGTGTTTGGTTTTATGATTGAATTTAGAGAGTTCGCGTTCGTTCGGTTTTGGTTTAAGTATAGAGTTAAAGGTTATTTTCACTATGCGTATTAGGTGTACAAAATGAGTAACTTTTAAATAAAGTTAAGGCCTTGCGTAAAGTTCAATATGTAATACTATGTGGCTACATACAAGTGTGAATATTTTAAATATAGTTAATATATAGGCGCTTGAGATCCGTTCTCAAAATACATGGAAATGAGTGTTTGGACATAAATTATAATCATAGTGCCGAGCGGAGCTCTAAAACTGGTGTGGAACGGCCAAAAAAGCCGAGGAATGATAAAGCCTTAAAACAAAGTTCAACAATCAATCAATCAATCAATCAATCAGCCATCGCCGCGATTATGTTCAACATTGATAATGAGCTTAGAACTAATCCAGAACAAAAACTATACAAAATATATATATAATAACTCAGGTTCGTAACAAAATTCAATTCAGGTGACAAAAAAATAAGGGGACTGGTTGGTGTTGAGTTAAATGAATTTACAATTTTTAAAATGTCTTTAAAAATTGAAATTCCCTGATAAACGCTTAACGGACAATCCAAAAAAATAATCATTTCAACTCGGGGGCTTGGGGGCTTAGCTATGTAAAAAGAAACCATGTAAAATTCCTCAGTAATAGCGCAAAACATAACAAAAAAATATATATAACCTCTCATCTAACTAATCGGAAAGTTGCTGGGTCGAGTCTCTTCCAGTTACTCGACGCCAGCACTTCGTCCGCTTCGCTCACTTAAAATTAAACATTGTACAAATAAGAAAATATAAACAGCTTTCTTAGCCAAGAAACTAACAAGTGTCCTGCAGGGGCGACCATTTCACGTGTCCATTCGTTTAGCATTCGAATGCCAGCTCCAAATGCTGATATGTAAGCATGATTATCAAAAAAATAGTGTGAATGTGTATGTGTGGGGGGGGGGTCATCGACCAACACTAATTGCCTTCAAGGAAATTCAAAGTGTAAGCTTCATCATATCCTACCGATCTAATATACACACATCAATAAAACTGTGTTCACAATAATGATGATGAAGATGATGTCGAGCCCGGGTCTCCATCGGCTCCTGGAAAAACTCTGCCACTAAAAGTCCAAAATTCCGCATTATACGCACAAGCGGAAAATCCGTAAAACGGTGCGGATAAATGCTTAAGCTGTCTAGATCGCCGGATGATTGTGCTGCTTTTGCCGCTGTTGCTGTTGCTGATGCTGCTGGAAGTTGTACATTGCTGCAGCATTGCCGGATCCGGGATTACTCATCAAGTTGAGATTGTGAGACTGTTGCGATTGCTGCTGGATATGATGGTGCTTCTGTTGGTGGATCTGATGTTGCTGGTGATGCGGCATCTTGTTTTCGCCGCTCATACTGTGGCTGGATGAGGCCAGCGAAACAGTCGACGAGGATGGACCGATGCCAACAAGGCTCTGGGACTTGGAATTGCGTGTCAGGGGCTTATGGTTTTTGACGATGTCACAGCTGTGCTGCCATTGCCAGCAACTGCGGCAGAAATATCTAAAAAATAATAATTTAATTACGTTTCCCCAAGTTTATAGTTCGGTATACCCACCGGAAACAAGACAACTCTCGACAATAGTAGGGACCGTGTTGAACTCCGCAAATTGAGCACAAAGCATCCTCCAAATACGGATCTACCTGCACCTTTTTGGTAAACTTTGTGGTTCGAATCTCTATAAATGCGGCCGAGACGGCTTTCATGTAGGAGCGAAAGTTACTAAAGGTCACGCGTCCCGATCCTATCGGGTACTTGTACTTGTCCGTGTCTATGCCAGCATACAACACACCATCGAACAGATCATCCATGATCTTGCCCAGCCCCTCGGCCGTTAACTTGCCATGAAGGGCGCCAACGAATACTGTCTTAGTAGGATCTAGCTTCTGGGAACTTGAGCGCACAAAGTTGGAGTCGGCAATTATCCATGGAATGACTTCCACCTGTTTAATAAGAAGCAAATTTCATATTTGTAGACTTGACTTCATTGGACTTGAATACTCACGTCCTTAGACTTGATGCGACGCGAGGAGATCTTGAAAAAATAGTTGCTGCCGCTATGCGAGTCATCCACCTGGACCACACAGGCAGAGAGTAGGGCCTTGACCTGCTTGTCGGACTCAAAGATTATGTACACATAGCCCTTGGGCTGCGCAGCCTGCTGTTCCTTTCCGGGCCACTCCACTCTGGCGAAATCGGGATTTGGGGGTTAGTTAGAAAATCGGTTAAAATGCTACAGTGCGCTCTCTCACTTGATGGAGCCAAAGGGCTTAAATATCTGTATGAGCGATTGCTCACTGATGTCCCAGGGAATGCCTCCGAGGAAGACTTTGGGCGAATAGTTGAGCATGCGGTGCGAGCGCGGCGGCAGCTGTCCGCTCCAGGTACATGTGGCGTCACATAGAGCCGCCGAGCTCCTGTGAAACTTTGCCACGCGATCCAGATGACCATCGTTGGTGGCTCCAGTGCCGGTGCCACCACCTGTCATATCCGACATGGTTATTCCGTTGGTCGATCCTCCCATACCTATAAGGCTGTTAAGGCTATTTCCAGTCACGCTGCCTATGGTGTTACCAGCATAGCTCTGCAGCAATTGGTTGAGCAGCGGCATCTGCTGCGTTTGCGCTTGCAGCAGCTTCAGTGTGTTGATACGCTGCAAGTTCTGCAATTTCGCTAGTTCCATATCCACGCTGGCAAAGTTGTCTAGGCTGCACTGACCGAGGCAGTTCTCGTTGCCCCCGCCGACAGTGCCAATGCCATTCAGCTCAAAACCGTGCTGCTGCTGCTGCTGTTGACCTGCATTGTTGGTCATCTGCTGCTCGTAGTTCCTGCTCATGTTAGCGTATTGCTGCTGCAGCTGGTGTTGGTGTTGCTGTTGCTGATGGTGCTGTTGTTGCTGCATTGAGGCCAATTTGTTGCTATTAACCGACAGCAAGTTCTAAAATATAATTTGATTTTAAATGTTTTAATATGTATTATAATATATATAATTTAGTATATAATATAATTTTAATTCAATACTAAAATATATTGTTAGGCAGCCTATAGGGGAGACGAAAAAGTATACAAAAATTGGCACAGCAATAGTCACCGTAGCTGTCATAAGCCGGAAAGTGCGAGCAATCTCAGAATCGAAATTATCATCTAGGATTCAGAGCATGATTCCATATATATATCTTTCAAATCGGGTATCTCACATTTGAATTCTTAACTTATCGAATACTTTATAATTTACTGAATTGCGATTTCTAACCTGTTGATTTTAAAGTTTTGTAAGTCTGATTATCTTACCAAACTTAAAACATTAGCCATCGTTGTCCTTAGGTAAAAATTTAAAACATAATTTTGTGAGTTTTTTTTTCTGGACGAATATTAGTTGTAACCAAAAATTTCGTTTACTTTGAATGAAAACCCTGAGTGCCTTGACTCAATGAAATTTAATTACATTTGTGAATTAAGAAGGATCAATAAAAATGACTTACAATCATGTCCAGTAGGTTGGTTTCGCTAATCGACTGACTGCTGTTCTGGCTCTCCGGCGAGTTGGAGCGCGTAGAGGCATTTGCCAGGCTCAGTCCCAAGCCACTGCCCGTGGACTGGCCCAAGCTGGTGTATCCCTGATGCGGCTGCTGTTGTTGTTGTTGCTGCTGCTGCTGCTGTTGTTGCTGCTGCTGCTGCTGATGCTGGTAGAGCATGTTGATAGAGTCCATGGAGAGGCCATTGCCGTTAGAGGAGTTGCTGCTGTCACTGGAAGGGTTAAGGCAACGAGCTTGATTAGTCAACGTGATCAATTGGGATTGGGAGCGGGTGCCGCATATCACATTGGTTATTACCTGACTAAAGGTGAACTGTGAAAGGAGCGATTGTAAATAGATGTAGGCGTACTTGGCGATAAAGGTGCAGAGCAATCGAAGCTGATGTTTGTTCTTTGGAAAGCCTTAAGTGGGTTACTTTGTGCAACATTTTCAAACTAAGTTCGCCAATTCACCCAAAAAAGAAAGAAAGAATGGAAACAACAACAAATAAATTAAAAAGAGGAAAGGAAACAACAACGGTGGTAACGATAACCAATAACTTCGTCATAACGAAGTTGCACATACTCTTGCATTTGCCACTATTACATTTTTCTTTTATTTCGAGTGTATATTTTTTACCTCTTTGGTTTAGAACATTTTTAAATGCAACAATCGGAATCTAGGAAGGAATCTTGGGCTTAACTTGGAGAGCTTCTGCAAGGTTATATTTGAAAAGGAAAAACACCGAGTGAAGTGGGTCTATAGAAAAACGTTTTTAATAATTTTTTTAATTAACGGTTGCGATTTTTAAAATTAATTTTTCTACATTAAATTTATTATTCCAAGACCAAATGTATAATTAATTGTTTATGACTTTCTTCTTTACGGTTTCTTAAAATTAAATATTATATTAAATATATTGCTATTTTCATTTAAGAAAAATACAAAATTCAATTTGACCCACTCACAACACATAGAGAGACAGAGACAGACAGAAGGAAAGAGTTCGAAATCATAAGACGGTTATATAGACCACGAGTGAGACACACGGGCGGGGGTAGATACGGATTACGAGTTCAAGCAAAAAGTTAGGAGAATTAAGTGCAAATTGAGTGCAGTTAGAGACAAGTCCCAGCCAGAGAGGACAGGCATCAAACGACGGCGAAACTGCCGGAGGCGTTAACACAAGCTCCTGGCCTTACCTGGAAGTAGTCGAAACTGGACGACTTGGTGCCCGGCGATGCCGAGGACTGAGTGGAACTGGGCGTGAGGGGAGCATAGACCGCCGCGTTTGGGGAAAGTTGGATGCCATCACCGGCAGACGCGGCGACAGCGGCAGCGGCAGCAGCGCTGGCGAGCAGCAGATTGTTGACGCCGCTGCTGCTGCCGTTGCCACCAAAGCTGCCGGGGGTTTGGCTCGCGGGGCAGTTGGCTCCTCCCTGGCCCGATCCTAGTCCCGATCCTACTCCTGTTCCTGTTCCCGATGCTGTTCCGACCGTAGTAGCTCCTGCTGCAGCCGCTCCTCCTCCTCCTCCTCCCATCGATGATGTCGAGGGGTTTTGGCCAATTCCGACGACTCCATTGCCACCATTGCCACAGAGGCCAAGCAGATCGTTCAGTGTGATTGGATCTGGGTTGGTGGAGAGACAGAGAGAACGAAAAGGGTGAGGGTGAGTGCAATGTCAACAATTATCGTAAAGTTTGCCCAGCCCTCGATAAATCAAAACTATTGCCCCTCAAGCACTTTGCAAATATTCGAAAAACTGCTAATAAATTAGGCGTACTGCAGTTGCTGTTTGTGGTGTCCATGCTGCTCGGGTTGCTTTTGCTGCTGCTGTTGATACTTTCCCCATTGCTGTTGCTATAGCCACTACTGCTGTCTTGGGCCAAGTTCTGACCTCTGTAGCCAGCAGCCGCCAGCCTTTCAAGGTCCTTGGCAGTGTTGTTGCAACTGCTGTCGGTGCTGCCATCGCCGCTGCTTTCGCCGCTGGTCTCAAATTCAAAGGATTTCTGCGGCATCTGTTTTCCAATGAAGACCGTCTCTAGGCCCAGCATAGGTGCTACATTGGATCGGAGGCTATTGGCGCAATGGAACTCTTCTGCTTCAGCGATTTGTTTCTTCGAGCTGGTACACATTTCGGTCTTCTCTTAATTTTTTGTTTTCTTTTGTAGACAAGAAACAATTTCGAGCTTGTATTTAAAATTTTAGTGGTACTTAAAAATTTGATTCTGGCTTCGTTGTTCCGGTACTTATGTTGACAATTTAAGGTCCAAACGTTAGGGGAAATTTTTGAAAGCCCACCACTCGAGTCTTCGGGATCTCGAGGCCAGCTTAAAACAACGTGTCTAATGAAACTTAATAACAATGTGAAATTAGACTACGAATTGTGTATGTATGTGTGCCGGCTTCTAAAAGTAAAAAAGTATTGAAATGAATTTTGTGCGTCCAAATAGGACTTTGGCAGCAAAGTAAAAGTAATATTTGATTTTCCTTAACAAATAACTATGTGACTAGCTCGCTAATTGATAATGTTTTAAACTTGCAGCGTTATGAAGAAAAAAAAAAAGCAATTTAAAAAATCTAAATAACTAACACCCCATGTAATTTATTTCCTAAAGTAGAGATGACTCTTGAATTGAGGGGCTCAACTCACCGTTGATAAAAGATATCAGTCCATCGTCGGTACATCTACCCAGAAGATCGTGCTGCTGTTGCTGCTGCTGGTGATGGTCGAGGAAGGAACTGATCGAGTGCTTTTGCAGCAGCTCCGTCGTGGTGGATCCACCGCTTAGGGCTCGCATATTGCCGGCAGTTCCGGAGCAATCGGTGGTGTCGTACTGGAAATTAAAAAGAGAACGCAGAACGATGACATCAAACTGGAGATTTGCACTGAAGCTGCCATAAAATGGAAATAAAGACAAAACGTAGAACGATGACATCAAGCAAGAGATTTGCACTCAAGTTGCAATAAAAGCAGGCGGTAGTTGGTGAAAGTTTTATTGTCTCCCAGTCTCCCCCTTTTTTTTTTTTTGGTATGTCAGGTGGCAAAGGACAGGAGTTTTCCCGCCCCCAAGGCAGCAACTAATGAATCGTTTATCTTTCACATTTCTTGCCACATGCCAGGCGGGCGCCAAGGGGATGAGGATGCGGATGCAACCGCACGAGGACAGCCACAAGGAGACAGCACCACCACACTATGCTTTTCCCATTTTCCGGCACCCTTGTCGCACTCGCACTACCACTAGCACCCGCACATCCGCCTTTCTCGTCCACCTCCTTCACCTCGCACTCCTCTGAGCACTCTCGAGCGCCTGGGCGCAATTAAAAGCGCATCAAGTGTCAGTGGAGCACACTTAAAAATGCCAAATTAGTGCAAATATTGTTATCAGGCACTCACCAAACAATTTAGAGCAAAATGGCGTACAACTCATTACGCCGGATTAATGCGGCCCACGAAATGGAAAGGAACGTAACGAAAGCCAACGATTCGGTACGGAGAGTGACGGCAACATAAAGAGAAGGAAGAGGGACTGACTGGTATGGATGAGAAGGAGGACGATGAGGATGAAGCAAAGCTAAATGTGCCAAAGCCAGGGCAACAAGTCATTGTCGTTGGGCGATGGCGACGGTCAATGGTCAGATGATGATAAGTGGGTGCGAGCGAAGGAGTTGCTCCAGTTACCCAGAAGGGATACGCTCCTTGATTGTCTATGTGAATCAGTGGGTTAGCAAAAGAGAAATGTAACATAATTGATTCGGTTTATAGAGATTTTCTTAGCCGAAAAATGGCAAACAAATGTGTCTATACAACCTGAGCTTAATAATTTCTATTCCAATATGTATCGGCATAAATAATTTGGTTTTAACAGACTACTTAATTTTTAAATCCATAGGCTCTACAAGATTTTCACAATTGATTTTTTAACAAATCAAAGAAAACTTTTGAATATACAAATTAAAGTGTATAATTTTAATAATATTTATACTAAGAGCTTAAGGTGTAATCAGACAACCAGTTTAGCATTGGTAAACCAGATAAACAGTGACATTTGTTTATAGTTTAATCTTTTCTTGTGAAGACTTTCATCCAAAGTTTAATTAACTTTCAAAAACATTAGTTTTACAGGCGTGTAGTGAGTGGAAATGATGCGATTTTCCGGGCCCATCCCCACAAAGAGATCTGGTAAACTGTTCGGGTACAAAAGTTAAAGATCTACCGCCACATAAGAGACTTGACAAGTCGAAGGGAATGAAAAGAACTTCCACTTGGTGGCGTTGGAGGCAAGTTTTGAATGCCGGCAATGGAGCGACAGTCGACGGCTTCCTTAGTCTTTGTCAACCTGCCACAACTATGTTAAGTACAAAACTTGCTATGGATTTAAAAATTGAATGACAACTTGATGAAGGTACGTGCAAAGTCGGAAATGGCACGAGCATCCCACACACGCACGGCAATCATCCGCCCGCCTGCTCTCCCACTCCGCCACATCCTCTCGGCTGAGTCAGGAAGCGGGTGAAATGTGGGGGGATCCGACCACCGGACAACTCTCTGCTCGACTAAGAGGCGCAGCATTGTGGCCTGTTGACACACAACCAAGAGTACGGGTGAGTGTGAGCTTCTGTGGGGGATTTCAGACTTTGTTTTTAACGCTCACACGTCACACCACCACCCACACAGTTACAACTTGTGGCAGCCGATAAAAAAAGAAGGCGGCGTCAATGAATGCAAATTACAAATAGTCTTCAAGCTATTTTGTAATGCCGAGGCCGCATCCGCATCCTTCTAAGGATCCGCCGTCCAAAATGCCAGTAAGACGCTAAAAGCTTTCGCTGTCGGAAATGGAAAAGGCGTCAAAGATACTAACGAGGACGAAAAGCCATCGCCTTGAAAACGAATTGAAGATGCTCTTTTGGCCACAGTGTCTCTACCTTGAAATACCCTATTGGATCTTAGAGAAAATACGTTTGGATTAGATTTTGTCGGGTTTAGAAAATAATCAAATATCCCTTTAAATTATAACTACAGAAACACGTACATAATTCTCGTTTTAGCATATTAATAGCTCAATCAAGCACCAATACCCGGTCGTCACTTCTCATCCGTATTTCTTCAACAAAAAAAAGCCCATAAAAAACGAAATTGAATACGACAAAAAATCTTAACCACCCTATTGACGCAGAGATAACACCCTGGCCTATTGACTGCTCTATTCTCGACACCCCAGGACAGGCTTCTTCTGCAGGCCATCATCTACTATATCGATGCCTCTGTTTCAGCGGCTTTTTCTCCTGCTGCTCCTGCTGCTGCTTGTCTTTTGTCGTCGAGGATTTGCAAAATTTGATTCAGTGGCGTTGCTGCGCTGCTGCTGTGACCGAGAGTTGCCCTTCGTCCGCACTGCCAGCCGATTGCTACATGGAGATATTCAGCATCTCTTTGCGTCCCATCCAAAGACGATGTCAGCCAAGGGGCTAAAGAGCCTGGCCACCCATAACTCAGTAGTTATTTATCCAATGTCCATTTGACTTGGCTTTTGTACATTCTCCTTCTCTCCTCCTATGTATCTCCTCCTCAGCTGGTTGGCCATTTTCTTCGGGTTTTCTTGAATTTTATTTTTGGCAAGCGATTTGCCTGGGCCACTGGCTCTGGGATTTCGTCCTGGGTCTGGCCTGCATTTTAACGGCGGACACACTCACACATGGGGATGCACAAGGGGGAGGGAATTGGGAGTGAGGAGAGCGTTTCCGGGGCCAGGGCCTCTGCAAAATTACAAGTTTCTGCTTTCAGAAGTCATACAAATTATTATGTTTGCATCGCTTACAACACTTATTAGATGTTTTGCTGCCCCCCAGTACTGCTTCTGATTCTGCTCTCCCTGTTCCGCATCCGCATTCACATTGACATCCACATCCACATCCTTTACCAATGCTTCTGGAGCTCTGGCCCAAAGGGTTTTCGGCATTAAAATTTGATGGCATGTAGTGATAAGCGTTCAATAACGATGTTGTCCTTGTCGTCGCCGCCACTCCAAGCTCCCGGCATCCTGTCCCTACCCCCGGGGCCACTTCATTCGATTCGTTTCGTTTCGATTTCCCTCTGCCCCTCCACTCCGTTCCTCTTCCGATGACCGCAGCCAGAGGTTAATGCACAGTTGTAATTTTTTATGGCCGATTACATGTTGCCAACTTGTGGGCGAAAAGGGAATCATAAAGGGGGCAAAGAAATGGCGGGGCTGGCAAGTCCATAAAGGATAAGAGTTATGACCGAATGCATTTGAATTTGCCAGCGGTAATAGAGTGTTTGCATATTACGTGGCGAGTGTTTAAGTCCCCTCGAAGGCAACTCTGTTCAATCCATCCGCTGAGTAGATTTAGCCTGGACAATTTATGGAACTCTGTTCTACAAATTTAGGGATTTTACTGGTGTGCCAGAGGGTAAACCTAGTAGATGCATCTATATTTGGAACAGTTTTCAATTATTGCGTACTATTTCAAGTTTAATTTGTGAGAAAGAGTATCTTAGCTTCACTGCTAGTGCATCAATCGAATTTAAGAAGTTGATCCGTAATTTGAATTTCTGGAAAGGTGTCCAAAACCTAATAAGTATAATCCGATACACGTAGCTCGACTAAGTGGATTTTCCAAGGAACGCGCAGCTGGCGAAGATGGGAAGCGTTTAATGTTTGCAAATTAAAAACCATTCACCGGAAGCGAGTCACCTTGGGCAGAACTTTGTCCGTAGGCCAAAGGATTCGATAAGATGCAAATGCCTGCAGGACACCAGGCATTGCCTCCTCCTGCCCACCGTGGGCTGGGCTGGCTCGCTCCTAATGCAGTGGCACGTAATTGCTGCGCCTACGAGAATGCAACGACAGTTGGGTCACAGCTCCTGCTGTCGTGCATCCTGTCTGCTGCCTCCTCCGACTGCTTCTGCTCCTGTTCCTTTTGCCAGCAGCTGCTGCTGTGCATTTCATTAAATGCCAATGCCTGGGCAAATTAAATTGAGTCTGAACATGTCGAGTGCCATTTCATCAGGCTCAAAAGTCGATTTTAGCTTTGACGCGATGTGTCGCATTCATATTTACATAACTGCTGCATGCTCTCAGGCACTCGAATGCGTTGTTGTTTTGTGTTTGTGCTGAGTGCAATATGAAAACAAGACATTAAATGCCTTTCTGGATCAAAACTCAACTATCAAAGCGCCAGCAGACGTCTTCCCTGACGACTTTAGAGGCTCCAGAATGGAATGATATTGATAAGTACTCCGACCTTAGGATACCCAGTTCATAAATCATTGCATTCATTCGTTCTTTCTTTGAAAAATATATTGTAGATATTTGTAAACCTTTTTAATTTTTGGTTCATACGTAGGCAGCTCTGCCTGAAAGTATTTGTATTCTTGATCAGCCAGGTAAACCAATATAAACAAAACCGTTTAGAAGGTTTCTATATACATTAGTAATACCGTACGGCGAGGGTACATAAACTTCGACTTGCCAAAGGTTGCTTCCTTTTGCGTCTTCTGTGTGATCCCTCTTTCTCCCCTGTCAGTTTCCCACTTGTTCTCCTTATAGCGGAGTCAGTCGCAGTTGCAGCTTCCTTTCGCATGCAGCCCATCCATTTAATAATAACAATATCGTAATTCAGGCAAGTCTCTGACAGCAGCAGCCTTTACATGGGCGTAGCCATCCCCCTTCCAGCCTGCTCTTTACAACGACAAACAAACGAGAGAAGCGTAGCGACATTTCAGTTTCAACGGCAACATTTCCGATTCTCGGCGCTTTGTTGCCGTTGTTATTGTTTCTCTCTCGTGGGAAAGGAGGGCGGTGGCTCCAAAAGT